CACTGCACTCCAGTCTGGGCGACAGAGTGAGACTCCAACTCAAAAAAAAAAAAATGTTGAGGATTGTGAATAACAGAGCAGGGTTAGTGTCCTTGTCTCTGCCCTCTATTTCTGTAAGGCAGAGCCCCGCTGCTCTCTCAAGGTGCCTAGGAGGCTGGTGCACAATGAGTCTAGGATACAAGAGGGAATTAAAGGGGGAGGAAGTTTCATTTTTTTTGAAAATACAGAAGGGTCAGGAAGTATCTACACTGTTGTTAAACTAGGCTTCAGAAATCATGAAAGAATTTTGGAGCAGGATAAAGCCTTTAGACTAAAAAGCAGTATATACATGGGTCCAAATCAGGGGAAAGCCACAGTGTATGTCCTGAAAGTCCCCTTGTTCTGGGCCCTTGGAGGGTTTTGAATTTGTTGCTCTGCAAGAAGTGGATACAAATCTGCATTTCACATTCTTCAGATACACACGCCCTACATCCTCCTCTGTGGCAGTAAGATGCTGGAACTCTGCAGGCAGCTCATGGTGAGGAATGCACCGAGGGTGGTTCTGAACTTTTGTTCCCAGCCCCATGAGACCTAGTGCAGAGCTCTGGCACTCTCCAAGTATAAGTAAAAATCCATTGAGTAAGCATGATACATGGACCCACAAGTTCCAAATGGGGCTTATCAGCACACACCCCTTGAAAATCTATTTCTGGCACTGAAGTACAGTGGCTATACAGAGCCTCCACACGACCCGAGTGCCATTTGAGAACACGCAGCATCTGCCCTCCGAATCCAGCAGCAAGTGCAGCCAACAAGGTTAAATTTAGCACATGGAGGTTGTAAAAATAAACCCACTTGAGAACAAAGTTCATTATTGGCAAAACACCGAATGAAACTGTTTTCAGCAGAGCTAGCCATTGACTTTTTAAACCTTTCGTTCATTTCTTTTCTCTGCCTTTCCTTAGAATGCTTAATCTAAGTGAATGTTTATGTATAACCCCTTACTATGAGCCGGGCTCAGTGGCTCAGCCTGTAATCCTGCGCCTTTGGGAGGCTGAGGTGAGTGGATTGCTTGAGCCCGCGGGTTAAAGACTCGCCTAGGGAACTTGGCGAGCCCTCATCTCTACAATAAATCAAAAAAATTAGCCGGGTGTGGTAGCGCGTGCCTGTAATTCTGGCTACTCGGAAGGCTGAGGCGGAAAGATCACTGGAACCCAGCAGGTTGAGGCTGTAGTGGCCGGGAGCAGCCACTGCACTCCAGTCTGGGTGACTCCAACTCAAAAACAAACAAACAAACAAACAAACCCCTTACTATGAACACTAATGGCCCTGTGGGTACTGCTTCACAGCTGCAGCTGGATAGCAAGCCTGATGCCCGGGTAAGTGGCCATGCCACTGGCTGGGCTGGACAGCAGGAGGAGACAGGAGCTGCCTCCTGGCCTAGTTCAGCTGAGCTGAGATCCTGGCCCTGACTGGCAGAGGGCACCTCTTGTCATGCCCTTGAGCAGGGTAACAGAGTGGATAGAACTTAGGCTCTCAAGTGATAGAATAAACTTCCTCCTAGAGAGGCTGTGTGGATTAGAAAAGATGGTATGGGCATAGCTCTTAGCACAGTGTGGCTCATGGTAAGTGCCCGGTTCCTGGTGGCATGCAGGCTTTGCGTGGCTTTGCACTATAGACTGGATGCAGCACTGTCTCATGGGACTGGATGAGAGTAGTCAGGATCTGTTGGGGTCTTCCTGTGTCAGAACTCCCCGCTGGGCTCTTGTGCAGAGTGTTCTTGAGAGAGGCTCTGGGACTTGCTTTTCTTTACAATTTGCCTGAGTCAGTTCACCTTTAAGGCTCAATGCTCTGTCCATCTGTTACACTGGCACTCAGAACAAGAGGAACATTTTGCTAAGATGAAAAGGTAAAGCTGGGCTCGGTGGCTCAGCCTGTAATCCCGCGCCTTTGGGAGGCTGAGGTGAGTGGATTGCCTGAGACTGCGGGTTCCAGACCTGCCTGGGCAACTAGGTGAGACCTCCTCTCTACAATAAATCAAAAAATCAGCTGGGCGTGGTAGCGCGCGCCTGTAGTTCCGGTTA